TCTCTCTCTCTCTCTCTCTCTCTCTCTCTCTCTCTCTCTCTCTCTCTCTCTCTCTCTCTCTCTCTCTCCCCTCTCTCTCTAGCCTACTAAAGGTAATGATGTTATGATAAAAGGAGGTCAGTCCATGAACATTTACACTAACTTGAACTGCATCACTGGAATGAAACAATACGAGAACAAGTGTCTAGAGGTACAGAATTAAATGTACAGTTGTGGCTAGTATGAAAGTTTGAGAGTTGATGAAGGAGATTGTCTTTATATTTAATTTGTAATCTGAAGCAACATTAAATTTGCACATCTTTCTTTTAAAATTTGCTGAAAAAGATTGATTGCTTTTTGTTTTTTATGCATTAAATTTGCATGTAACTTAAAGTTGAATATTCATTTATTGTCTCTTATGCAGGAGCTGAGATTTGAGGATTACTCTTGTAACAGGAAAGGACCAGTTGGTGGTGGTGGTATGCTAGTGTCACAGGCAGGGGGCGGGCTAATGGGAGGGGCCACTAGTACATCAGCTGGATTCTTCACTGGAGGAGGACTAGGAGGAGGTCTTGGAGGAGGTAAATACTGTTTGTTTGTTTGTCTTTATAATCACAAACCAGTTTGACACATTATACACATAGACTGGTTTATTTCTAAACCGGTTTGAAACCGGTTTAGTCTACTCAAACTGCTTTAAGGGGAAAGTGTAAATGGGGCTACTATACACACTAGTACATTTACACCTAGTATTTATGATGTACTTATGTCTTATCTGCATACATGTCTTGTTCATTGTATGTTCTCATGATTTTTTATACTCTCCCTCTCTCCCTCTCTCTCTCTCTCCCTCCCTCTCTCTCCCTCTCCCCCCTCTCTCTCCCCCCTCTCCCTCTCCCCCCTCTCTCTCCCCCCTCTCCCTCTCTCCCCCCCTCTCTCTCTCCCTCCCCAGGAGGTGGTGGTAATCTATTCAACACTGGTACATCAGCTTCCTCTGGTATATTCCCAACCAGCAAGTCCTCACTCTTCCCCACCAGTAAATCAACAACTGGTCTTGGACTGGGGGCCGGGGCATTAGGAGGAGGAGGTGGAGGACTATTCAATCAGACGAGTCAGGCCGGTGGGTTGGGTGGGGCTAATTTATTAGGAGGTACTTCCACTGGATTGTTCCCTGGAGCTACCGGAGGACTTGGTGCTACTGGACTGGGACAGACGCAGGTATGAAACTAATAGTGTATATAGTGTACTAGCTGTTACTATACTGTAGCTATATAGATACTGGCAGTGATTTACATATACATGTACATGTAGTATTGGCAGTGTGCACCTGCTAATATTTAATCCGCCATTTTGCTTTATTCTGAGCATGCTTAACGACACATGACACTGCAGCATCAATAATTATGCATGCTACTTTATGTAAATTAATATACTAGCTTACATTGTAATGCAAGGTTTCTTCACCTAATGTAACTCATGTCAATATTTCCTAGTGTACATGAATGCATGCGTGATTAGAATCTATTTTTATTTTTGTTGCTGTGCAGCTTGGCGGTGTTTTGAAACCCACTGGACTGGGCGGTACCACAGGACTAGGACTGGGGGCTGGCCTTGGAGCAACAGGTGGACTAGGAGCTACTGGAGGACTGGGTGGAGCTGGGGGACTGGGCGGAGCTGGAGGTGTGGCTTATAAAGTTTATTAAAAACACGATTTTATTTTTCCTTTATTTTTAGTTGGCCTGGGGGGCCAGATGGGAGGTCTTGGTGGTGGAATGTTAAACAGACCCCTTGGAGGGGGTCTGGGAACTGGACTTGGAGGAGGCATTGGTGGTGGTAAGGATCCTATAAATATTAATAATAATTTAATTATATATTTTTTAGCTCAAACTGGTCATTTAGGAACTGGTACCGGACTGGGACTTGGTGGATTGGGAGGTGGTATGGGTCTTGGAAATACTAACTACTCCACTGGACTAGGGAACACTCTCAAACCAGGAGGAATGGGAATAGGAAACACTGCAGGAGGACTAGGAGGAGGTACAACCACTGATATATTATATAGTTTAGAATCATTATCTTGAAACCTCTATAGTGCTGTTGGTAAACATAAAAATAAAGCAGATCTAGTTTCATTTATTTTATGCATTAAGAAGTTGGGCTATACATAGCACTTCTGGTTGTAAAGAAAATAGATGCATCTACACGTGTACATGTACTTATACTATTATTGATTACATGTGTATGTATTTATTATTGATTAGGTTTTTCAGGTGGTATGATGGGCCTAGGAGGAGCTGGACAAACAGGAATGCTTAACATGAATAACATGTAAGCCAAACCAGTAATAATTATGCATTAATTAATTATTATTAATTTATTATTGTTATTAATTGTTGTTAGGAGTCAGAATCCATTGCAGAATCTATCAGTCCAGCAGCAGCAGGCACAACTCCAGCAACAGATCCAGCTACTGGCCAGTTCTCCTTTTGGTGATTCACCATTATTCAGGACAGCAATGAGTGTAAGACAGCTATAGGCTTACATGTACTATAGCATTACATGTGCAGCATGTATACAGCACACTTTGAATGTATTATATAGCATATTTACAATGATCATTTGGTGTCAATTAGCTTGTATTTTATTTGTAATGATTGCTTTAATTTTTTAATGGAACACAATGTACTTGCATACATTAATTAGCTGTAGATCTGTAATTAAAAATTAATATTTTTAATTAATTTTTTATCATTTATTTATACTCATTTTCCTTCTCTTCCTTGTAGGACTCAGAGAAAACTAAGCGCAATAAAAACCTCACCCCAGTCTCTACTAAACTCCCTCCATCCTCTGTCTCTTCTGCGTCTCCTCATTACAAACTAAACGTCAAACCGGCCGGGAAATTTAAAACCATTTCCTTGAGCACTCCCTCCTCCTCCTCCTCCTCTGCCCAGAGGAAGGATAAGAGTGCTATGTTTGAAGGTCTCAACGACTCCATTGCTTCCGGCGAGTCCTTTGTCCCACGTCACAGCATCAAGAAACTAACTTTTAATCCAAAGCCGAAAGAAACCCCAACTCACCTTGATTCAACGTCTTTGACCACGCCCACCACTGCGTCCCCGCCCACAGTCTCGACGATGAGTGCTACTCCAGTCACAGTCACTAAACCGGCGTTCCAGTACACACCGGTTACCAGTACAGGCAGTGGGAAGAAGAATGATTCATTGTCTAGTCCTGAGATATCCTTTGCTTTGCCTGGTAGTAAGGTATTGCACAAGCCAACACCAAAGTGAGCTTGAGCATGTGTTTAGAATGATTTATGTTGGTGTGTGTGTGTGTGTGCAATTGCAAAGTTTGTGTGTACATGAGTTGTGAAGTGGCTGCAAAGTCCCTGTACTGTAGTACATGGTCTTTGGCTAAGTTTCATGAAAATTGAAAAGTAGAGAAATCTCCATTTTTATAATTTTTCCTGATGCATATACATGTTCTTATGTTGTGTGGAAAGCTTAAGCTCATTCCGATCAGAAATAGATTTTTTATGAATTTTTAAAGTTTCTAAAAAAACCAGGTAAAAGTCCCTGTACTATATAGTACATGGTCTTGGGCCAAATTTTGCCAAAATTGACAAGTGGAGAATTCTCTATTTTTATAATATTTCCTGATGCATATACTTGTTCTAATGTTGTGTAGAAAGTTTGAACTGGTTCTGATCAAAATTGAATTTTTTACGAACTTTTAAAATTACTCCAAAATTTGATAAAACGCTCTCCTGTACTATGTACATGTAGTTGAGGGTATTTCCTCAAAAAAATAGCTAGGAAAGTACTTCATGTCTATATACTGTATATTTGTTTCTAGGCGTCCATTATCAGCTACTCCTAATGACACCATATCAGAGCTAGGAGGGGGCGGAGATCAATCAGTCTCTTCGACCACGCCTCCTTTCACATCAACTCCGCCGACCACCACTTCGTCTCAACCCCTCCCTCCCCCTCTTCCTCCTCCTCCTCCTCCTAGTGGATTCATTCTCACTAAAGATGGCTACTATTCTCAGCCATCAGTCAGTGAGATAAAGAGAAGCTTACAAGAGGGTAAACCGAAAGTACAGGATCTTGTTATTGGTAGAACCAACTTTGGAAAGATACTCTTCACTGGCGATACTGATGTATCTAACCTGAATGTTGATGAGCTAGGTAAGACACTATTAGTACATGTATATACAGGTACAAATATATTACGTGTATAAGTTATCTTTTATTATTATTATTATTATTTTAATTTTTTAGTATTTTTATTTCTGTATCTTTTACACATGTAATTATATGCCATATTGGCTTATTCTAATTAGTATTCCTTCTAGTGTATCTTGCTTAAGTACATGTATGCTATTATAAATTTTTTGTGTACATGCTTATCTTAATTTAAGACTTATTGATCTCTCCCCTCTCCCTCCCTCTCTCCCCCCTCTCTCTCTCCCCTCTCTCCCCTCTCTTTCTCCCATCTCTCTCTCTCCTCCAGTTTCTATTAATCTCAAAGAAGTCACAGTATATCCTGATGATTCCTTGAAGCCTCCTCAAGGAGAAGGACTTAACAAGAGAGCCATAGTCTCTCTCTCTGGATACTGGCCGGTCTGCAAGACGACGCGTCAGCCAATAAGGGACCCACAGAAACTAGCTGACCTTGGTTATGTCAATAAACTACGCTCCTCTACTGCTAAAATTGGGGCACGGTTTTGCGATTATCATCCTGACACAGGAACTTGTGTTTTTGAGGTGAGGGAGAGAGAGAGAAAGAAAGAAAGGATTGAAAGAGCTAAGATATGAAAGAGAAAAGGGGATACCGTATAGAAGGAAATTTTGGAGGGACTAAAATTTACCGAATTGCTAAATTTTGGTGATTGGTGAATTTTAATTTGGCGAATTTGTGGCCACGTGCCATTGAGCATGCGTATAATGGGTAAATAGCTATTGAAATGCCAGATTCGCCAAATTTAATCTCCTCCAAAATTTCCCGCTATACAGTACTTATAATATTACATGTACATGTATGTTTGCTGTGTTAATTTTACATGTACATGTACATTTATAGGTCCAACATTTTTCAAAGTACAAGTTGGTGGCTGATGATGACGACAGTGATGATGATGATGATGGTGATCAGAAAGGAGGTGGAGATAAAGCTAAGAAATCAACAACAGATAAGGTACTGTACATGTACTAGAGCTGGGCGATAGTAGTCAAATCACTATCACGATAGTTGTTACTACTACTATCCCGATAGTGAAACTATCACGATATTATAGCTTTCTTGTTAACAAATAGTTATAACTATTAATAACGAAAGTCAAAAGGAAGTAGTGCATGTATATACAGGCTGTAGGAACTTCCCATCTCTTGCTGGAAAGCCAAAATGCTTCCAAATGTCGCTTTTGCTTCCTTCTAGAGGAAGAAGGTCCGTCCCTTCAGATGCCATGTCTAGATATCAGCTGCTATCCTGCTACAACATATGGTTATAGTACTGAGCATGCCTATATGTCAACATGTGGTTTACTATCACGATAGCTTCAATACTACTATCATATCACGATAGCCTCTATACTATCACGATAGTGAATATATTCGAAACTATCGCCCAGCTCTAACATGTACATGTATTATTATTTTCAGTTATACATAATATACATGTACAATGTATTTTATTATTTTTTTTATTGTATGAGATGTGAAATATTGGTAGGGAATTCATATTCATAGATCTATAGAATTTTTTTTGCCAGCATTTCATTCTGTTTAATAATTATTTTTTATTTTTTATATTTTTTACTTGTTAGGCCATTTAATTTTTGAAAAAAAAAGGACGAGAATTATCATATTTATCATTATCTATTTTGTTCAACTTGTGTGTATAGATGTGTATTATATTTTATTGTCAAATTGTTTTGTTAGTCAAGTTGTTGTGTTCAATATCCTTTCATTTATTTTTGGCTTATTATTATTATTTGTTATGAAAATTATGATTATATATATTGATCATGTGTGATATTTTTTTGATTTAATTGTCGTTTCATTAATTAATTAATACAATTCAATGATTATTAATAATTTGTTTTAATAATTAAAAAAACATTTTAATGAGGACAATTCTGGTGCTATAACGGATTTTTTTTCCTTTTTTATAGACTAAGAAAGCAAAGACACTAACAACCACAGCTACAACAACCACTACAACCACCAAAACCCTCCCAACTCCTCGCGTTCCTCCTCCCGTAACTAAAACCGGTCAAACAGGCTTATCGACCCCCCTCCAACCTAAACAACCCGTTACTCTTGGCCTTTCGGAAGAGGAGGAGGAAGAGGCGGAGCCTATGGTTGGAGAAGTCTCGTCAACAATGACTCCTTCACATCACTTGGCTAGTACCCTGGGTCTTGATACGGAGAGGCTGCAAGTCATGAAAGCTTCATTCTTCTCCGACCAAGAGACCGTGACTCGTACAGGCCACACTCGCTCCTCTGGCCTGACGTATTTTGATAAAAGTCCGGCTCAGTTTAGCGATAGAACCAGACAAGCACTCAAACCTTTATCAGCTCCTAAAAGCCACTTAATAATGCCGGTTGCCCCACCCACAACCACGCCCTTTTCTAAAACCCCTTTACGTTTTCCAGTTGAGACTTTAAGTTCATTAGGGCCTTCAGAACAGCCTCCACCTTCGAAAAAGATATACTTACCTTCTGACGCCCCTCCAGCCCTACCACACCCTAGTTCTACCATCACTCGTCAGAAAATAGACCGTTTGAATTTATTGAAGGACAGTGTATTGTCTGAGCTCACAGGGTATCACAGAGACGCTGGGGCTTCTCTTGGAAGGTCCTTTAGAGTCGGGTGGGGTCCTGGTTGGACTCTAGCCCACGTTGGTCAGTTGGTTTCCGGTGAAGCGGCTACCAGGCCCTCAACTCATCAAGTTTCACTATTTTCTAGTCATGTTTCGAGCTCCACTCACTCCTCATCTGGATTCAAGTACAGTGTTGTTAGTATTGAGAAAGTTGATGCTAGCCCATGGATGAAGGAAAGCGCTAATATTGAAGTTAGTACCAGTTACAATTTACAGTATAGCTCCAGATTTTGTCATTCAGTCGTCGAAATTTTAATTTTTTGTTACAATTAATTTTGTCATCTCTGTTATTAATCCACATACTATACCCATCACGTTGTAAAACTAAAATATTGTCGGTTAATAATTATTTTCAAACGACGTACGAATTTGACGAAAATTTTGACTGACTAAAATTTGGAGCTACATGTACATGTATGCAGTAATGTACATGTACATGTACATTTAATGATACTACTCTACTACTGTATTGAAGTCGTTTAAAATTTTGTATAATAATTCTCTCTTTTCTTATATTTCTCTCTCTTTCAAAGGATATGTATGTCCCATTATTAAATGTGCAGCTATCCCATAGCTGCATTGGTGGGGCGGAGTCCATGAGCGAAGAGGAAGAGGCGTGGTCACATGAGGATGTTCCCCTCATTGTTTCTGTGGAGCCTCAGGAGCTACTCAAAGATATTAATGCCACCTGCAGTATAGCAGTCGAAAAAAGTAATTGAATAAAGGACTATTAGTTATTGGGGCTATAGTAGGTAGAAGTTTATGATTTACTTAATTTAATTTTATTTAATTATGTATAATAATAATAATTATTATTTAATTGTAATTTTTGTTAATTATAATGTGCAAAAATATTTATTTACTGGATTTTGTAAAAGAATTTATGCCTCAAAAATTACCCTAAATATTATTGCTTTTTATGATTTTTACTGTTTTTTTTTTAAATTCAATTATTACTATTATTTCATCTATTTATTTATTAATTGTTAGGAGAGCCTGATTTATTTAAGCAAGTTAACGATGTCTTCCAGTTGGTTTCAGCTTTATGGGGTCAACTGGTTGAGGGAGATGAAGATACTACTCAGAGCTTATACTGGATAATGGCGGAGAGAAAGAGGAGGCTGTCAAAATGGTTTCAGAGCGTTCTAAAGCAAAAAGGAGAGGATGAGGTTTGGAAATTATTTATGTATTGAATTGCAAATGATCATATTGTGATTTATTTATTATTATTTTTTTAATAAATAAAATTTTTTTTTGAAATAATAAGAGAGACACAGAGATAGATACAGTCAAATCATAATAATAAATTTATAATAATTAAATAAATAAATAATTTAGTTAGTAATTTATTATGTGACCATCAGACAGTGCTACATCAGGACCATAAACTGTGTTTTTGCATTATAATGGCATAACATGTACTTGTACTTGCATTTTGGATGCTTATATCTCAAAGGATTGCAGTAATAATCAGCTCAAACTTTCTACATAGCATAAGTGCATCAATATGTATCAGAAAACGTAATAAAAATTTGGGGTGATTTCGGGGCCATTTTTCAGAAAAAAACATGGGCTTAGTACAGGGTATTTTTTAGAAAATGGCCAATTTTTGAAAATGGTCATAACTTGAAAAATTGAAGTCGGAATCAACTCAAACTTTCTACACAGCATAAGTACATCAATATGCACCAGAAAATGTAATAAAAATTGGGGGTGATTTCGGAGCCATTTTTTAGAAAAAACCATGGGCTATAGTACAGGGTATTTTTCAGAAAACGGCTTATTTCTTAAAATTGCCATAACTTGAAAAATTGAAGTCAGAATCAGCTCAAACTTTCTACATAGCATAAGTACATCAATATGTATCAGAAAATGTAATAAAAATTGGGGGTGATTTCGGAGCCATTTTTCAGAAAAAACCATGGGCTATAGTACAGGGTATTTTTCAGAAAACGGCTTATTTCTTAAAATTGCCATAACTTGAAAAATTGAAGTCAGAATCAGCTCAAACTTTCTACACAGCATAAGTACATCAATATGTATCAGAAAATGTAATAAAAATTGGGGGTGATTTCGGAGCCATTTTTCAGAAAAAACCATGGGCTATAGTACAGGGTATTTTTCAGAAAACGGCTTATTTCTTAAAATTGCCATAACTTGAAAAATTGAAGTCAGAATCAGCTCAAACTTTCTACATAGCATAAGTACATCAATATGTATCAGAAAATGTAATAAAAATTGGGGGTGATTTTGGGGCCATTTTTCAGAAAAAACCATGGGCTATAGTACAGGGTATTTTTCAGAAAACGGCTTATTTCTTAAAATGGCCATAACTTGAAAATTTGTAGTCGGAATTAGTACAGACTATACTACAAAGCCTTTTAAAATAATATCAAGTTACTGACATCCCTCTCTTTCTTTCTCTCCCTCCAGAATCTCTTCTCCCTCCTGTGTCAGTTCAGACTGATTGATGCTTCAAGATTAGCTCATTCACTCAATTCTCACAGACTAGCTCTCATCATTGGACAGGCAGCTAATCCTAATCTCTCGTCTCGCCTCCTGTTACAGCAACAACTTGAAGACTGGAACAGAATAGAAGTAAGTACATGTATATCCATAGTCTTAATATACATTGTTTATTTTAAAAGTTGAAAACTTAAAATTGTTTTCTTTTGATATACAATGTACAGTATGTAGCTTGCGAACTTTTATACCGTATAGCGGGAAATTTTGGAGATAGTTAAATTTGGCAAATTGCTAAATTTTGATGATTAGCAAATTTTAATTTGGCAAATTTGTGGCCATGTGCCATTGAGCATGCGTGTAAGGGTTAAAAATGGCAGATTTTATTTTGACAAATGGCTATCAAAATGCCAAATTTGCCAAGTTTAATTCCCTTTAAAATTTCCCACTATATAGTATTGCTTTTACTTCTTTCTCCCTCTCTCTCCACTTTCTCTAATCCTCCTAGATTGATGATCACATTGATCCGAGCATCCACTGTATTTATGTCTTGTTATCAGGTCTCTTGGTTTGGGAAGGAAGACAGAAGTTAGTTAATTTGTGTGAAGGACTCAACTGGAGGGAGTCAGCTGCCCTTCACTTGTGGTATACTCTTGCTCCAACTGATTCTGTAAAAGATTTCATTGAGAAATACGATGCTTCGTTTAAGGTTAGATACTTGTATGTACTATAAAGGCCTTTTCACACTGGCACAGTTTTCAAAGCGCTTTGTTGATACAGCTGAAATAATGCCATTGATCGTGTTCACACTAGCAGCTGGATCATGTATCATTTTGTGTTCTTGTTGTCATTGGTTCACATTGATCAAAGCGCATCACTTCACATCAATCCACCTCTGGAGGTGAAGTGAGAGTGATGCCATCAATGCACATTAATTGAAAACCACTCTAGTGTGAACATTAATGGCATCGATGTCCATGCCCATTACTTGTGCCAGTGTGAAAAGGCCTTAAGTTGTACTAGTAAACTGTTGTCAGCTGCATTTGTGTCTAATCATCAGCAGTATCTTGCTGGCGCTGTGTAATCTTATCTTAGCTGTATCTTGTATATATTTGTGTAGCTGTATCTGCCTTTAGAAAGCCTGTACTACTGTATATTTTTGGTATACTACTGTATATTCTTGGTATACTAGTTCCTGTATTACTGTGTCTGGTACTAGCAGCATGTACATACTGCTAAGTGGGTTCCTATAGTACATGCATGTAATTCCACGCGCATGCGTATGGCTGCACACGTGTTATCTTACACGTACCACACGACACGTTCACTGTTCAAAAGTTCAGCTGCATTGGAGTACTGTTGCGGGGAAATAGCCTGAAAGATTCCTCAACTTTGAAGGAGTAAATCAAGTGATGGATGTTCGAAGCATTCAGTCAAGAAAAGGTCGTCATTACTTGATCGAATTCGGGATCGACAAAGATCTAGCAGTTGTCTCAGAAGATGCGTTAGTAGGCTGTGCCTCTTGTAGCCATCAAGCTGGAGAGAAGGCGGAAGTGTATGTGATAGATAAAGGTAAGTCACTAAAATGGAATATAGTTTATATATATTATGGTTCCTACATTAGGGGATGAGAAGGATGTGGAGCAAAATGAGAATGAGTTAGACAGCTATGAAGAGTTGGGGCCTCCTTCTAAGAAGCAAAAGAAGGAAACTGATGCTGAGTGTAGTAGTAAAGAGATTAAGATAAAGAAGAGCAAGAAAAAACAGCAAACTAGTCCTGATGTAAGCTGATACCATACATGTATAATTGCCTCTTTTAACAGGAGGATTTTGATGTAATTTATCCTGATCTACCGGTATTATAATAATTAATGCTCAAGATGTGTTTAAGTTTTAATCTTTCTTTTGTGTGTAGAGTAATGTCACTGCAAGTGAAGCGAATGACGATGTTACTATTACAAAAGTAGTCCAAGCGAGCAAAAACAAATGTAGCAGTCGTCACACTTCTGTATGTTAGAATAAATAAGTTCTCTTTTATTAATAAGTTCTTGATTCATAGGGTAGTCACTCACATGGTAAAGCGTCCACCAGTATGCCACATAAAGCAGTTGATCCTCGTTCTGTGCTTAAAGTAATAATAATCATAATAATAATAATAATAATAAGTTTTATTTTAATACTTTTCGTAGGACTATTGCTCCAGCATTGACAACATCAAAGCCAGGCTTGACAAAATTGAGGATTTCTTGTCCCTTTACTTTGGGTACGAGAAAGATGATAATAATAGCCTCCCAGTCCAGCTTCCTTCTGTATCAAATCCACCTCAGTCATCATTGGCTTCACGTTTCATGGTACCTTCTCTTACAGACCAGTTCCTTGGCTCTCCTCTTTTTAACAATATAAATCCTCCTACTCTCGCACAGCAATCTAGTGGTTCTTCTGTCAATCGTACAAAGCCTGGATCCTCTCTTAATTATATACAGGCTCGCCCTATACAGCAATCCAGTCTTACCCAATCTCATGCAAGCCCTCTTACACAGAAGTTTACTGGTGCTTATACTCATAATAATATACAGCCCCTTACAGTTCAACAGCCAATGGTCACTCCTCAGTCTTATATTCAGGCTCCTAAACACCCCATGCCTCTACCTCTATCCCAGCGACCTCCATTTCATGTTCTTGGTCGTTCATTAAAGCCTAACCTGCTCTTGTTGAAGGAGCAAAGTGTCTCTAGGTGTAACTTTGCAAAGAGGCTACTGGCGACCCTCATACCAGAGGACGAGTGGATAACGCTAAATGTGAGCGGAACGAGAGGAAAGAGGCAGATTAACCCTCGAATCATTGACTATGTCAAACTCTCTACTTTCTCTATGTATCCTCTTGGAGTTGGGGAGGATATGGAGGAGGCGTGGAGGGTATGCATCAAAGCTATTGATGCTGGAGCCAGAGCCATCGCTAAGAAGAAAAGAGAGTCAATGCAGACCATGTATAAAGGAGATGTACGCCTATTCACTTGTTAAAAGAGATTATTTAAAACTGCACACATATATTTACCTTCACGTATGTGTGGGTTAAGTTCTCTTTACATTTAGTTCTAGTTAAGCACGGACCTCAATCAAAGGCTCTTACATATATTACTATTAGTGCAAGCACATCTTTTCTTTATTTTACAACTACACACTTACGTGTACTAGTATTTACCTTTAAAATACATGAGTAAAAGTGGTTTGATTCTTTTAAAAAACAAATAATAATGTTTACAGGCACTTGTGGTCATCATCATGTAGAGCCATGTGAAACAGCACAGCCAATAATGTTAGAAGGATTGATATTTTAATTAATGTTTCTCTCTTAGTTTTGTATTGGACACTACTGTGTATAATTATTGGGTTGAACACACACAAAGCCTTTGTGTTACTTTTAATTATCAATAACAATTGCCATAAATGAAGGGTTATGACTAATTACTATATAACCAACACGATATCACTCATAATGTGTTTTTTGTTTTTGGTTTCGAATTTCAAAACTTAAAAGTTTAAAAGTCTACATGATAATCCATTCCCATGTGTACAGGCATTGCATGTGTGTCCATTCATATTCTAATATTCTTTTGTCCTTCCTTATTTGAACTTTAAAGTAAACTCCATGATAGATGAACTGTTACTCTAAGTTAGTATAATATGTTCTACATGTTATGTACATGTATTTGTACATGTAGTGCGGACTTGTCATCCAATGGTGTCCCGGTTTTAGCCTTTTAGGGAATTCAAGGCTATTACCGATCAATTTCATCATTTGAAGTTCCAATGTTTATTATTGTTAGTAATACTATTGGTTGATATTGTCGGTAAATTATGGAAAGTGTTTTTATTACTACGTTTTAAAGCGCCAAGGCTAAGGCCACCTGAAACTTGGCGTCTAGTTGCTTCTGAGCACGTAAATGATTTAATGCTTATTGCGGCTTTTGGTCGGAAGCCATTTATAACTTTAAAGGTGTTTTATATTGTAATGGTAAACGTTTTTGTCTTTTTGCTTTGTTTGCTATTTTGTGCTTTTTTTATTTTCTCTCCTTTTGTGTCTCTATTTTAAATAAATCTCTTGTATTGCTGTATATATATATATATATATCTCTCTCTCCCCCCCCTCTCTCTCTCCTCACTACTGATGATTAAAAGTGGGAGTATCTCCATCAAAGCGTTCGCTAGTTGTGATTCATTGTTACCTAATGGAGTTATCATGTACATGTACATGCACACAGAGTGGACTAGTATTTGACTACAACAAATTGTGTATACATGCAACTGATAGGCCCTGGAATGTGTTTACATAATAATGTATATATAATGTGTATTTATGTGTCTATGTTTCTATAATATCTATTGTGTGTGTGTGTGTGTGTTTTTGTAAGTGGTTTTAATTGACGGTGCCTGTGGTGATGTACCTACATACAGGAATGCTTTTAGTCTTTTGAAGTATTGGTCCTTCTTGTACTGATACATGTGTGGGGTATCCTAATGACATGATCTCGGCAGCCATGCCCATTATGATGTTAAGTCACTCTTGCTAAATTAAATATTCGAGTGAAGTCACAAGCTTTGTTCGACCGAACGTGTAGTTTATGATAATCATAGTATTAGCGATAATGTACATGTACATGTATAGCTACAGTACATGTACATGTATATTTATCGTCACGGCTCACTCTTCTTCCTTGTCCTTTTAATGCGCTAATGAATGAAGTTTATGGGCAGATAACAATACACATGTACATGTATGTCTTTAATTATTCGCTATATACATGTACATGCTTATAGTTATAACTGTATTCCGTTTCACGGTTTATTTTTGCAGTATCTCATGTCCTTGTGTGTGTTCTCTCCATCTCTCCTGTGAGAGTTATTTCTGTTATTTAAAGTTTATACAAGTACTTGATTGCAGTTTGTTTGATGTTTAGACTCTATTTCTTTCTGGCTCTCACACTTTTTCCTCATGTACATGTACATGTATAAAATATACATGTATTTCCTCATGTACATGTACATGTATATCACGGTCTCTTAATGATTGGCCTATTACATTTACATGTATGTAATACTGTATAATGGCGTTTATGTGGTGAAAATTTTTAGCAAAATTGAGATTATATTGGCTGGTTAGATTTTGACGATTTTGCCATCTCTTACCATCTTTGCAGCTATAGTCATAATGCAAGTTTTATTTTGCCGTTTTCGTAAAATTCACCAATTTACCAAATTTAGTTCCTTGCCAGTAGAACCCGCTATACGGTATATAATTTTAAGAACACTTCGATGTAGTAATAATGTATGAAGGCAAGAAAATAAAAAATTAAAAGTTATTAATATTGTATGTAAATATCTTTATTATAATAGGGGGAAGATCCTTATTCAACTAGACCCACTCCACTCTACATTCCTCCCTCTCCAGCCGGTTTCTCCTCGCCCCATGAGTTCCTCTTCGATACTTGCTATCACCTAATTAACTTGTTCAATAGAAAAGATTATCCCCTAGACGAGACCCTGGCTCCGTCTGGATCCACTCCTTATCAACTCGACTACAGATTGAGGTAGGTGTCATTTATAGCCCATAAATTAATTTATTAATGTGCCAAATTTTTTATAAAGCGTACATGTACGTGTATAGTATGAAGAGATACAGTATTTTGTAATTGTATTAGTGTTATTATTATTATGTATTATTTATTATTATTATTATTTATTATTATTATTATCATGTATATTGGTCTGTTATTGTATTTTGGTGTATGTAAATCATTTGTTTTTATTTGGTGATAATTAATTTTTGCTAATTTTTTGATGGTAATTTGATGCAATTAGCTGCTCATTTGGTGTACAAATTAGTTTCGTTGTTCCCCAATTAGTAAACTATGCCAGATAGCAGCATAGAATGTATTGTGGTACATGCTTTTAGGCCCACACGTAGTTGTAATTTTGTAGAAATATTTGGACGCATCATACAAATTCACTATAAAGAATTTTTACAATGCATAACAGCTATAAAAATCATAATATTGGTAGATATGGTTTGCTTATTGATAATAATAATAATAATTATTATTATTATTATTACTAGATGGGTTGTTGTGATAGTTCTTATTATTCATTTTTATGTCCATATCTTGTAGTTGGCATCTCTGGTCAATGTTATCCTCGCTCGGTTATAATCACGCTCCTCCTTCCTTTCTCCTCTCCCTTCACACAAGCTTCAGCGCTCAATTAGAGGCCGTTGGTCTCTGGGAATGGGCCGTCTTTGTCGCCCTCCACGTCCATAGTCCGACCGATAGGAGACAACTGGTGGAGAGTATCTTGTATCGACACTGCGAGTTCAGAGAGAGTGAGGAAGATACTGAAGAAGATGGAGACTTGAACGACAAGGAAGTGTTTGTCATTGAGAAGCTACTTGTACCACAGGAGCTTGTTTATGCAGCAAAAGTAAGGAGGGGAGGATAAAAGGACTTGTGATATTTTAGTTATTACAGAGATATAAATGTATTCTGTGCAAGTGTAACATAAATACATATCTATACATGTAGTATGCTGGTGATATTTCTATTTGTAGTATGGTGCATGGGCGGGTCAAAGGCGTCACCAGTGCTACAACTTCCAATAACGGGCATGGTAGGAAAATGTAGCACTGTGTGGAATATATAGTACTGCACAGTATAATATGTATGGGCTTTCCTGTAACATAAATACATATCTATACATGTAGTATGCTGCTGATATTTCTATTTATTAATATAATATTGTTCACCACCTCCATATGTGTGAACGTGATGTTATGCATGTACATGTACATGTACATGTAGTGGTATGTGATAGTGTCATTAGGTTGTGTGTGTCCTCTTTCCTTGACTGTAGTTTAATTATTTCCAATGTATGTACATGTACATGTACATATATGTACATGTACATGTACATATATGTACATGTTTGATTTGTATATGGTGTAATGTCTCACGTCATCTTTTCTCTCTCTCTCTTCTCTTAGGCTCAATCGGCAGAGTGTGAAGGGTTGTATGATGTTCAAGCTAGTTATCTTCTTAAGGCAAAGGAATGGAATAAAGCTCATCAGATATTTGTGTCACATGTTATACCTACAGCCATTGTATCAAGTAAGGACATTGATATGTGTCAGAAAATGTAATAAGAGTTTGGGGTAATTTTGGAGCCATTCTCAGAAGAAAAACTATGGGCTATAGTACAGGGATGTTTTAAAAAATTGGCCTATTTCTTAAAATGGCCATAACTAGAAAAATTGAAGTCAGAATCAGCTCAAACTTTCTACATAGCATAAGTACATCAATATGTATCAGAAAATGTAATAAAAATTGGGGGTGATTTCGGAGCCATTTTTCAGAAAAAACCATAGGCTATAGCACAGGGATGTTTTTGAAAATTGGCCTATTTTTTAAAATGGCCATAACTCAAAAAGTTGAAGCCAGAATCAGCTCAAACTTTCTACATAGCATAAGGGCATCAATATGTATCAGAAAATGTAATAAAAATTGGGGGTGATTTTGGAGCCATTTTGTAGAAAAAAACCACGTGCTATATAGTACAGGGTATTTTTCAAAGAATGGCCATAACTTGAAAATTCGGAGTCAGAATCAGCCCAAACTTTTTATGTAGCATAAAGGCATCAATATGTATCAGAATACAATTGGGGGTCATTTTGGAGCCATTATTTGTGTAAAAACAAAAACCTTGGTTCCCTTTTCGACTAGACTATAGTACTGCACGGGTTCATTGAATGCTATTGTATTTTGTTTGTGGGTTTTAGAGCTCTGGATGATATCATGTACTTAAATTGAATTAGTGAACCCTTTGGCAGGTGTGTGTGTGTTTGTGTCTGTGTTTGTGTACATTTATGTTTGTTTATGTTCACACTGTCAATAGTTGACTTGATTTCCCTTTGTTGATCTCTCTCTCTCTCTCTCTCTCTCTCTCTCTCTCTCTCTCTCTCTCTCCAGATGATATTGATTCTATATTACATTCTCTTGAAGTTCTCTCTGATCATTCCTCATCAATCAGTAACTGGGAGTCCCAAGGACTTGTGAGTGGATTATAAATACAACATGTGCTCATGATTCATATGCACAACATGTCCACTACTTGTGTTTGTTCATGTATGCATCCACAATAAGTGCATGTTCATATATGCACACTGTGTGTGTGTGTGTGTGTGTGTGTGTGTGTTCTTTTCCTTTATCTGTTAATAGTGTTTTAATGTTTAAAGTATGTTCTACTGTTGTTAGGTCTATCTTGATTATCTGAGAGTATCTGAGAAGGTAGAGGAACTATCAAATGTAAGTGTTGATTAGAGATAAGGTTAAAAGTAGTGTCTTAGTTTTGATGTCAAAGTTGTTAATACGTTAATTTTTACACCTCCTCTCTCTCTCTCTCTCTCTCATAGGCTGACAGTGTGTCATTGAGTCAGCTAACAGAAGTATATGCTTTATTGGATTGTGTGGCTGGAAAGGTTGACTCACTCTCTGGTGACACCCCATTAGAATGGTAACAACAATAAACTAATAGCAATCACGACTTTTATTTTTGTATTTTATTTCTATTCTATCTCTCTATGACGAATCCAGCTTATGTCAAATAGAGATTTCCAAAAAGATGGCGACTCTGATTAGAACCGTTTCCTTGCTTAAAGTAAGTCAGACTTTAACACATGAGTGCTATATAAGCTCTGATGATGCTTAGTAGATTATAATATTATCGAGAGTAGTTAGAGAGAGTGTCGAACTGCACTATGCTAGCTGGAATATGACCGTGTAGAACTTTCTTGCACATCTTTGGGCATTCCCACATACTGGGTGTGGCTGAGTAGGAAAAAATGGCTGCCTAGTTTGCTCAACAAGGTTTACTGGCCGTTTTGGAGTCTCTGCTATAGCTGTACTGCATAACAGGCTTCAGCAGAATTATAAAGTGTACTAGTATGATGTCTAAAGCTTCTTCAAGTGTTCTCCACTGTTCCTTATGCAAACTTCTACACGTGCTTTTAGTAGGTACACCCACACTTCAGGTCTCACGTGACTTAGTTCTACGCGGTCATATTCCAGCTAGCATAGTGCAGTTCGACACTCTCTCTGACTATCATCTACTCTTGGTATTATGCACTGTGCATGTAAGTCCTTGCTTAAAGTAAGTCAGACTTTAACACATGAGTGCTGCATGAGTTCTGATAATGCTTAGTAGATTATAGTATTATTGTGCCATGTATAGCTGGTCCACTGTATTGGAAATACTTTCTTTTTCTCCTCTCCCTTCTTTTCTTTCGCCTCTTCATTTTATAGTCCGAACTCTCTCAGTCTTTCAGCGCTCACTCTCTCTTCCTCTTTCCCTCTCTCTCCTCTCTCCCTGTTCCTCAAGAACATCGTCTCTTTGAGCTACGTCAGTTTGCCTCTTCACTCCCTCTCCCGCCCACAGACTAATTAATTAAAATTGTTATTATTATTATTATTAACCATGTCCACTTCAACTCGGACTTTTTGTGATGTGCAGGATAATACAATGGGATTCACTGTATGTGTAGCATTGTTTTGTAATTATTAATATTATTATTATTGTGTTGATAATAAATTTGATAGTGTTAAAAAACAAATGCAAGAATGGTACAAGATAGTGATGATAATAATAATAGTAATAATAATAATAATAATAATAGTAGTAGTGATGCTATTAAAGTTGTTGAGAGTTATTTTTAAACAATTGTAATATTTCTGTGAAGTCTTGTATAGACTATAATTATTATTATTGAAAGCAAAAGAGAAGAACTATTGAATGGAAAATACTTTGTATCTATTGTATGTGTGTGAGAGAAAGTGGGTATAATAAATAATAATAATGATGAGTGAAAAAATAACTGAAGTGATGCTTGAAAATTATATAAAATTGCTAGCAATAGCAACAATACGTTCAGTATATTATTATAAAACACTAGGGGCACCAAATTAAAAAAATAAATCATAAAACAAGAGCTACAAATGTCTCCTCATTTCTGTGGTTGGACGTGAGTCACTGGTATAATTGGTAACACGACCTGTTGTATGGGCCGAGCTAGAGTCATGGGCTGATACAGCAATGGTGCCCTCGCCCCCAACAAATCAGGAGTAACAGTAGGACCACTTCTGCCACAGAGTAGGAGAGGATTGGAGAGAGATGAACTGTGAATAAGACCTGATTGAGAAGGAGAGAGAATCACTTGCTGTCCCTGTTGACTGGGGAGGACTCCGTGGGGGAGCAAGGCCGTCGTAATTTGAGGCTGCAACATGACCACTTGCGACTGGGTCGGGACCGTCCCTGCAAACGCCGGAGAGCTTTGTGTGGGCATGGCCTGGTCCTGGGCGGAGCTCACGAGATTGTTTCTCGTTAGAGGCATCATGACGTATAGCGGGGGCGATATGGGCGTGGGCTGTTCTTGTGGTGACCGATCGTTTGATTTACTCCCGTCCAAAGTAATACCGGTGCTGTGCAGACTCGTTAAAGATGACGTAAACGAACTCCCAATTTGACTTGAGGGTGTAAAAGGGGCATGGCTTGGAGGCGTGGTCTTAATCTCCCGACCTTTATGAGCAAACTTGGTATGTTTCCTCATTGAGGATGGGTCGGTGTAAGCTTTATCGCAACCAGGGAACTTGCACGCATACGGCTTCTTCATGATATGCGTCTTCATGTGCTTCGCCCTGTCACTCGTATTGTTGAACCGCTTGGTACAGCCCTCGTGATGACAAGTGTATGGTTTTTCTCCTGTATGCGTCCTCATGTGTAGTTTAAGGTTTTCCAGTCGTGAGAACCTCCTCGTACAGCCCGAGTGATTACACCTATAGGGCCTCTCCCCGGTATGACAGCGTAAGTGAGTTATGAGTTTATACCGGGCATCAAACGGCTTGAGGCCGCGGGTGCAACCCGTCCAGCGGCAGGCGTACGTGGGTAACGAGTGGGCGTGGTCATGTTCAAGGTGCGAGACGAGTTGTTGGAGCGTAGGAAAGTGTAGACCACATCCGTCCCATTGGCAAGGAGGAACGACGGACACTTTAACATCGTTTCGAGTGTTTCTGTCGCTAATTATCATGTTTAGATATGAAGTTGGAGCTCCACCCATTTGAGTTGTGAAGGGCGTCGTCACAAAGGCCGAGGGCTGCTACGGAAAAAAGAGAAAAATAATAAATAATTATATAGACGTGATAAACAATAACAACATGTACATGTATATGGTTTTGGGTCTGACAACCTTGGGACTAATCGAGTTTAATAAACGGATTATTAATTTGATTTCGTATTAATCAACAAGGATTACTGGTTAATAACGACATTAACGACAAGTGAGGAATCAACCCAATGGCGTCCATTAAAAATACATTTTATACTAAAGGTAGGTAGGGAAATGAATGCATGTAGCCGGGAAGCACATACATATGTTATGCAAACAATAGCCTCTTTATTAGGTTAAGTGTATCTACCAGGAAAAATTATGCCGCATTCATAATGTGAATTAATTACATCAAAGCTCATTTGTGTTGCATAATCTAAAATAATCTAAACCCGATAGTATGATGATTATATCAACCAGCTATTGTAATTACTTCTTTTATACACAACTGCTGCATGCTGATATAATACACTCTTAGATCAGAAACTGCCACGGGGCCTGCATATACATGATATCGTTACACTCTTCCTGCTACGTGTATTTTGCTTAGAGTGTGTAGGATCTAATGAAGCCACTCAAGAGTATCCCAACTGGTACACAAGGTGTGGTAAAGTGAAGCCTCTTATCTTAAGTTACATTAATTGCTGTCTGCCAATTAATACATCCAGTATCATACAAAGCATCAGTTGAGTGGCTGCATTTATGATATCTGTGGTGGGTCACTGTCTGGAACTGTGTGCCAGTGTATTATAGTATGGGGAACTACTACAAGCTATAATATCTTCATTAAGATGTAATTATACTAATGCATTGCTATGCACATATACAGACTACTGTTAAGGTATGCAATGAGTCTAATTGCTTGCTAACACATTGCAATGTTACACATTCGCTGAAGACCACACAAGTCAATTATTCCATTATTATTTATTTATTTATTATCCTATAATCCCTAGACATCATGCGAATTAGATATATAAATTCGAACCGAGTTGGATTCAAATGCAATTAGTCGTTCCTTGCTATACACTGTCACATCCTAATCACTGGAAGACGGAAGTTGCTTTATGTAATAAAGTGTCTGGTTCCTGCAGCTATTATCAGTAGAGTCTAGTCCCCATTGTGTATAGCTTGTTGATGAGTTCAATACCATTGGGAGTCTATCATAAGACTCTACATGAACACAATATGCCTACAGGGAGCTACGGTTGTCTATTATGATTGAATGGGCCCCTGACAAATATTTTTAAGTTGTCTTTTTGACACCTTGTTCATACCTTGTTTGCACCTTCAGGTGTGAACGAGGTGTGAAAAAGATGTGAACAAGGTTGTTAAAAAACTGCTTAGATGGATTTTTAAATATTGAAGAACATTATTTTGCTAATGTATGCATGACTATATGCAAGTGTGTGGAACTTTATACACATAATGATAGTGGACACACGTAGTCCGAAATACGAAAATGGACGAGAGAGAAAAATGTATAGGAATGTAAATAAAAGGAAGCTGCTGCATGAAAATGTGAGCTACTAAAAAGAGAAGAGGCAATATATGGGATGCACACATATCACAGCCAATTACAATTAAACCATATCCATGCTATGGTCTCTCCACACACGTACAGTACAATAGGACTCGATATGCAAACCTCAAAGCCATTCGTCTGGACATCTTTAATTAATTACACACACGAGACAAATTCCCATCAGGTGTGTCTGGGTAAGACACACTCCGTGTACACTGTACATTGTACATGTATACACAATACATACGAGGCCCACATTCCAGCAATACTGCGTAATATGGGAAGCATATGGTTACATATTGAGCAGCCTATCAAGATACATACCACACAACAGGGCCTGTAATACAGTACCAGTACAAGCAAACAACACCAGTATACTAGTCTCATATACTTTCCATGCCACACTGTGAGATAGAGAAAGGGTGAAGGGTTACACTATACACAGTGTTGGTGGCAAGCTGCTCACATTTGTATAATCAGATTAGTCTGGAATGGACCAGACAAAATACCCAATCTCTGGTTAGCCTTCCTTGTCTAGCATTGTTGATAATGTCACTCCTCTAATCTCATTAGTGGGCACCAGTATCACAGCTCAGACCCGCCTAGCCAGACACTAAGTTATGTAAACAGTACACACACTTAACTACAATACAAGTACCATCACTACACAATTAATGTACACAATTAACGTACACAATTAAGATATCAGTGTATACTATATATTCATTGGTACTTTAGTATAATACGGTGATTTTAGTACATGTATATGCTATAGTCCCATATATAGCAATATTATTTATTCATACACACTCGTAGCAAGGAATAAACCACTTATACATATGCATGTACATTAATGCATGATCTAATACATTAATGCATATACGTTATCATTCATACGCTAATAAGACTCTACATGTTTTATACATGCGTATACATACATACATACACGCATATTATACATGTATATAGCATCTCAGCGTGGTGTCGAGTCATGGTGGGATAGTAGTGTCTAGATTTGCAGCTGTCCATTAAAACTTTGTTTTTCCTAACAGCTAATATTAGGAGAGTATTAGGCCTAAAGCTCTGCATTAATGATCGCCTGATCGCTATTGAGTCTAAAAGACAGCTGGTCACATGTGAAATCCCAATATAATGCAATAAAGGACAAAAACCAGACAAGCGTTGAGATCATTAATGCTAAAAAACAAAGTGATCAAACGGCTCCTAGTCATCACAGTAGTAAAAGAGGAGGAGAGAGTTGGGGGAAAAAGATAAGGTTATAGATAAAATTTATTAGAGGAGAACTGGTAAGTAGTAAATTTGTTGTTTGTGAAGTAATATTGTTAGACAGAGGAGGGGAAGCAGCATAAATATGTTATTGAAAATTATAGTAAATAAAACGAGACTCATTTTATTAGGTTAGAAGCAAAAGTTAGACAGTGGTGCTTCTATATAACGGATACTTTAGGACTGGTAAATTCGCCTATTATATAGAGGTGTTGTTTTTCCGAGGATCTAGGAATGTTTGGTACACTAGGTGCTGTTTTTTTAAATGGAGGTGTACACTATAGAGAGTGTCCATTAAGAGAGACTACACTATATAGCAAAGCAATAAGAAGAAATCACACTGTGAGGTAAGACACATTATATAAGTATCTTTTAATGTGGCAAGCCAATAATTAAAGCATTAGTTTCTCGTTACTCTACAAAATTACTTCAAATTAGGATAAGAGTACCTCAATTTACACAGGTGCTAATGCAATGCAATGAAACCCCCACAATATAAGACCACGACTCCTCAAATAATAATGGAATAATTACTATATAAGGACTAGGACGAACAAGAGATAATACATACAGTTGTTCAAGCATATCCTAAACTTTATGCACCAATGTGTTTGCATTACATTGCACACAAATGAAGTGGTGCATGTATGAAATTGAATTAAATACGGTAGAATGTCCCACTCTGAAATAAGGACATTTAGCAACTTGCACCATTACAAAAGTGCCTGGATATAATTAGTGTGGGTCAAATGGTGATAGTAATGGGTCAAATGGTGATAGTAATGGTTAAGGTCATTTTTGTGTGGCATCAATCTACTCTTAGAGTTTTGACCTCAAATGATAAATAATAGTTTAAGAGTTACTATAACTCCTCTTAATTGCATTGGTTTTTTTTGTTGTCTCTCAGAAAATAGGCCTCTTTTTTTCAAGAGGAATATAGGGAAGAGAAGAGAAGAAAAAATTAATATTATGGAGCAAATAGCAACTATTAGTAAGAGCAATAGTAGAGGAACATGTAAAAAAATAATAAAAAAAATTTGAGTAGTTATTTAGGCAAATGCATTACTTGTACTAAACTGATCCAACTGCTATATGACACTGTACATATGCTTCATTAAAGGTCATACATGATAGACTATAGTAATATAATAAGAATGAGAGAGCGATGCTCACATACCACCAGTGGAGTCAAGGAGAGCAATACAGTCTAATAGTCTATAACTACCTCCCAGACATAATAACATGTGAACGCAACTCAAGAACAATTAATTATGAGGCAGAAAACATTTGCAAAACTAATGATATAATTATACGAGAGACACTACATGTACACTGAGGAATGGGAGAGAGGGAGAGAGGGAGGGAGAGATAGAGGGAGAGAGAAGGAGAGAGAGGAAGGAGAGAGAGAGAGAGAGGAAGGAGAGAGAGAGAGGGAGGAAGGGGAGAGAGAGAGGGAGGGAGAGAGAGAGAGAGGGAGGGAGAGAGAGAGGGAGGGAGAGAGAGAGAGAGAGAGAGGGAGAAAAAGAGGGAGGAAGAGAGAGGGGGGAGTACACTGAAGCACACTCGTAGAGCCAGAAACCAAACAAAAGAATACAAAAGCGAGCCGACACTATCTAATAAAAAACTTAACCTGCAATGGAATTAGCGCTAGAATGCCAGCCAGGCGGCCAGCCACTTCATAGTCACTCAGTCTCTTGGATTCATTATGCCATAGCTAGTGCAGGCTTCTAGTTTCTAGGGCAGACTATACTAATATAATTAAGGCAGACAGGAGATAAGTGTCAAGGTTGTTGTACACACCGTACGTTATATCATAGCGAATAACAGTACTGGCATGATGTATGTGAATAGTGAGGCTGGTATTTATATGCAGTGTATTAATACAGACACAGCATACGGACACATGCACATTAGCACTTAAGAATAATGCACACATGCAATCTTACATACCCACACAGCATTCATAGATATGCACAAACACATACATACATATAAACAAAGACATTAATAAACTCCTATACACAGGATACTGCATATACACAGATACAGGCACATGCATGCCCTTGAAAATTCCATTTATATGCACATAAATCCATGAAAGCAGGAAGGGCAGAGAATGCAAATAAAAATACAACGCAATGATAGTTGGAAGACAATAAGTGAATAAACGAATGGACTAATGCTTGTGTACCATATATATATATATATATATATATATGTACTATACATTTACATGCATGCATATACATTTTAGTACAGTAAAGTTTAATGTGCTCCTACTAACTCGAGCTGGGTGTTGACCAATAAACCACACTGTTATCAATACATGCATGTGAACATAATAGCTCTAAGCATTATATACTAGTACTGTATAGTACCCAGTACAGTATATGAACATAATAGCTCTAATCATGTACTATTATATACTAGTACTGTATAGTACCCAGTACAGTATATGAACATAATAGCTCTAAGCATGTACTGTGTATATACTAGCACTGTATAGTACCCAGTACTGTACTGTGTAGTGCTGGGGATGTGGTACAATACCTGTACATTAGGAGTGGTGTTAATTTGATTGGGGTTTTGATGCCATTGTGGCGGGGTTTTGCTGGTCCCAAGATGGCGGGCGGACTTGATTAAACCACAGACTAGCCAGTATAACCTTATGAGGCTACGAGGGACCTCAGAGACACAACCGCATACAAGAACCACTCTCATACCACAGCTAATGAACACTGTAACACAATCCGTCCATTATGACATCTATTATATATCATGTCATAATATCTTACTTCACATCAGCCATGCTCTCATGTCATTCTATATAAAGTACACAACCTGCTATTGTGGACACTCTAAAATAAGGACAGCTTCATAATCAGGACTAGTAGTATCAGTCCCAAAGCAATATAAATGTGTATTAATGAACCTTTAAATTAAGGACATTTTCATAATGAGGACAGTATTATTGGGTCCCAAAGTGTCTGAAATAAACAGGTTTGACTGTAAGAATATCATTTAATTGTTCTCTTTTCACACAAGTATACAATGTGCCATTGTGCTCCATCACTAGTGGCTCAGCAGCCACATACAATATCATACCATAAGCTGGTGAATTCCATCACCTAACTTGAGTATTGTTTTAAGCTCTGACAAGTGTGCTATGACAAACAATGAGGGACATAATAGAAATAGCTCACAGATTTAGACATGCAGTAATTTGAAAGCCATGCTCAGTTTAGCAGAGCTATCTTCTCTGAGTAAGCTTCATTGGTTTTGTCTGCAACTTTGCACTGGAATATATAGCCCATTGCAAAGCATAAAGGATAGAGACAAAGCTAATAATACACATTTATATCTTATCTGCATAAAATTTGAATAAAACCAACAATGAATGAAAGGTAAGGGACAATGGTTTAAAGCAACTTCAGTGGGTGTACTTCTAATAGACCTAATCTTTGTGTACCCTTCCATTCATAAAAGCTCATTATGCATTAATAAAATCATGACATCAAAGACCCCATTCAGTTTAATGGCTTGTACTATATACAAAGGTTCCATCCAATAGTCTTAATACACTCATTACTAAGAATAATGAAAAGTCGATTAATGCGAAGGCTAACGAGACTATTGGTGTGGTTTAATTTGATATCATATTCCTAATTTACCAAACCATTAGTTTAATCCTATTAACACAAAACATCGCATTACACATAAAGACCGTGAATACATGCATACCATATCCAGCATACTCTATCAATACATGGAGAGGAATGCAGACATTATACATACATACGTAATAATAACGGAACAGAGCCAGCTACCTTGGTGAACACGTAGAACAGTCATTAATTTCTCAGACAGACAGTTGAGTAAGAGCCCATCATGCGTGTATGAAGGTCAATGAGCTGCAAGGACAGCTGAACAAGTAATGCGCATCAACCCCAGCGATGACAGGGTCCAAGTATTATACATCAACTAGAGGAAACACACATGTTTTGCTGTTTTACTATGCCAAACACGTTACATTAATATCCACTTAGCCAGTGAACATGTGTTTGTATGGACAAGTGGCAGCTATAGTGCAAAAGGCCAAGCAGGACAAGGTCACAATAGTGCAGTGTAGCAGTAGCAGTTTACATTAGAAGTGAAGGGCTCAGACAAGACCTTTTGGAATGAGACTAAAGCAAAGACACTACAATATAAACATGCAATAATAGGAACATGCGACAACTTTCTTTCTCTTTCCAAAATCTCTACTTTGCATTGTCTTTCCCAGCCTTCCGTGATTATCCACTGCTGCTGGCTATTGTCTTTCAGAATACCAACACAATCCATAACAATAGATATCAGTCTAAATATGCAGAGCATCTCTCGGTTTGCATTATTGTTTATGTTTGTCCTATAGCTAATGAGTGGGGATGTACATGTGTCTTGCCCTCCAGTCTCACTCGCTTCCCTCCAGTAACTGATATTAAATTAGGAGTAATGCACAGTTAGTGTGGAGCACCACTATGCAGTCATATGCAGCCTAAAGCAGCACCGGCATACCGACCAAATATACAAACAATTACTCACTGGGTATGTGTGTGGAGTTATGATAAGGTCTGATGTCTGGACAGCCAATCATTGAACTCTCTCACACACTGAGCAGTCTAGAGAGTCACACACTAAAAATTGCAGACTTCACACTCTGGCATTAGGATAACTATTGGCTGCATGGCAGATTGCAATGTCATAACAAATCATGCTGAAGCTGCAAATGTGTGAGTCAGTTTTGCACATTTACATGTTAAGCAATGCATGAGGTGGGCTTGAGGATGAGAGTAAGTGAGAAAGAGGGCAGGGTAAGAGATGGCATTTATCTGATACCCTTTCTCTCTGCATGGGAGAGTAATCTGATACTTATAGAATTTTAAATGGATTTCAATGACAGACTATGCATTATAGGTGTAACTAATAAGACTATTCATTTCCTTACCTCCAGTACAGAAGTAGGAGTTGGGGAAGAGGTTGAGGAGGGATGAGGATTGAGCTCCATGCCATTTGAGTGAAAGGGAGCAACAAAGGAAGAAGAGGGAGGGAGAGGAGGAGAAGGAGAGTCACTCTCTTCAACTGATGAGGTAGGAGATGCAGAGATGCTCCTACTGGCTGGGGTGGTAGCCATTGGCAGGCTTGGGAGTAATGACTGATGTCCTCTTTGCATCATTTTACTGTATTAAAAATAAGGAGAGAAATGAGATTATAAAAGAGAGCAATGAATGATATGGGGAAATGGTCTAATGAAAAAATGGCTGAAAAACACTGCATGGCAACAATGCAGCAAGTCCACAAAATACTCTCTATGCCTCGTTTAGGAGTGAAGCTACTGCACTGGTGCAAGATCTCTCGATGATGTGGTACAAGCAAGCAATGATAAGGCTGCTGCTCTACGTAGGGGATCATGCTATAATTGCCCGGACACGAACCTCTTTGTATAGTATCTCTAGCAGGGCTCAAACAAGACAAGGATCGATCCAAACGGAGAAAGAGAAGCTGCGTCGGTACTGTTGCTGTTTCGCTCGCTCTGTCTCTGAATCCTTCGCTCCCTCAAAAAGCATCAAGGTCATATGCAAGTGGTAGGCGTGGCTCATTTACAAGCCCGGCCCGCCCCATAACGATATTCACGATCCCCTCCAGTAGAAAAGCAATGCTGGGGGGCTCGTGGAGCTCTCCCGTGGACACAAGCTCCTTTCTGTAATCCGAGAAGAGGGGTGGAGGTCGCTATGGAATGCTGCCACGTCCCACACATGTCATGAATACTCTCTCTCTCTCCCTTTCCACGCACAATCAAGTTGTAATATTGGCTATTGATTTGCCTGCAGGCACGCATAGCACACTCACGCTGTTTGCATTCCATTACATTAAGCTACACATATACACACGTCAGGCCCTACTCTTTGTCTCCAGTATACTCACTTAATATCTACACACCTCTCTCTTGTCACAGCTCCTTCTTTACAAAGCATGGTGTCATCATCTTTTCCTTACATAATCCAGAGAGCTTTTTCTTATGTTGACATGTGAGGATGTACAATGAAGAGTATACATACATGGGGCAGTTAAAGGATCAATATATATTGCATATTCCCTCCCTCCCTCCCTCATGCTAACTGCAATAAAAACAGAGGTTTGATAACATCACTACTCGTGTTACTTTTCTCATGGCAGACAAACCATAGTCTCACACAGACACAGACACTGCCTGCTATTATCACTGGCAATGATAAGGAGAGAAGGGGAGGGAGAGAGAGGGTCAGTTTTTGAATGATCTGTGAAAGTGATTCAATAATAATAATAATATTAATATTAATAATTATAATACAATTTGTTATCATAACATTAGAGATCATCAAAAAACGTGTCTCTCTTTTTTGGCGGTTGAGACCCAGCCAGCAGCTCCTTCCTACGTCTTTTTCTCCTGCTCTTCTTTCCACCTCTTCTCCTCTCTTTAACATCCTCCTGTTCCTCTTCTTCTTCCTCCTCCTGTTCCTCTTTCTCTCTTCTTCCTCCTCCAATCCATACCTTAGGTAGGTCACCAATAGGCCAGGAGTTCACTTGATCGTACGAAGAACTTAGTAAATGAGTCTTATCGTGAGAGAGTCTAAGCTCTTCAACAGGATAACTGCACTCTGATCCATGATGCCGCCCCAATTCACATATAGTCTTGTTTGGTAAGATCTGTACTACCCTATAATAAAGCAGCTCATAATACATTGCATATGTGTTCTAAAAGTAACTAAAATAGTAACACACTAAATAATGAGGTTGTAGTCTTCCCGTGGCATTTCTTAAAGTATTCACAGGTTTACTGTGTTTCAGTTTCACGAGCCTCACTGTAATTTATACAATTACATTATGAGCTATTGTAAAATTGCTACAATAGATTATACTTGAGAAAGCATGCACCTAAATCTTCCTATACTCCATACACCTTCCATAAACAGCTGCTGACTTGATGCCACCGCTTTTTGGGAAGTGGTGAGGTCAAAGTCATAAAGGAGGAGGGACTAAAACCAGAGATAGAAACACCATCATTATCATAATGGTAAGAGTGGAGCCATAGCCTAAACAAGCATGCCAGAACAACAGGTGAAGTCTAGAAAAAACTCTCACAACATATTACCAGGCATACTGTGCATACATTGTACATGTATAAGTATGCTGGAGTCATATTCCATGCAATGATGATACTAATTATACATCAAAGAGAGTCCAAGCCACATAATTTACACAGTGTCAGACCATGAATTGCAAGCCTTTACAGGTAGAAAAAATGTGGTCAACCATAACCTGAAACAAAAGTTAAGCCACGCTAAATATTTGATTCTTACATCAAATTTCATTCCAAATCCTATACGTGATGCCTATAAAAATACGCCACTCAGTTTTATGGAAGCAATACCTTCAGTCATTAGTAATAATTCCAGTTAAGAAATGCATAGTACATGTACATGTACATGTACTACGACATATCAATTAAAGTATTGTCATTAGTATCCATAACAACGACTGATAAGAAGGCACCCCAATGACTAGACACAAAAAAAGCTACTACACTATATACATCTTTCTCTCCCTCCCTCCCTCCCCCCTCTCTCCTTCCCTCCCTCCTTCACTCCTTCTCTCCCTCCCCCCTCTCTCCTTCCCTCTCCTCTCTCTCTCCATTTTAGAATCTCAGCATATATTATGCATAAAAGTATAACCGGTTGCCAATGCAACGCCATGGCAACGCAAGGATACATACACACAGCTGTGACCGACCTTATTATTCCATCTAGACCACCAGCACAGACAACACTGTCACTTATTTGTATAGAGGAGTCAATGGACTGTGAACGAAGGGTCAATGGATATCTGGAGGATAGTGTGCGTGGGGAGAAGAAAAATAAATAAATAAATAAACTACTTAAAGTAAATAAACAATCAAAGACTTGACAATAGGGAGGGAGGGAGGGGAGGTGAAAGTTTGACTCACCTATCAATCACGTCACCCCACAGACCCCACGTGAATATTCCCAGAACCCCTTCGGCGTCTCCGGTAACAATCTTTGCCCCGCCCTGCAGGTATTTCGTTAAAAAGAAACACGCATGGAGTCATTTTTAACATTATTAAGTAACTTGTAAGTCACTGACAATCAATTAATCCTAATTAGTGCTTATACAAATGACAAAATAAAGAAAATATTTATAAAAACAATACTGGTCGATATTATTAATTATACAATTCTCCTCTCCTCCTCCTCTTACTTTGACCAATGTTATGCACAGCAGCTCACTCTCAGAGCAATCTGATCTCTGCTCTAGTTTCCTCTGCCTCAAATCGACTGCCGATAAGCTTCCATCACCGCTAGGAGAAGAGAGGAATGGAAAGTCAAACCCAAAAAGTGCCACAAACATTTTAAGTCAACAACTTAACATTCACTACAATATCAAAGCCCCGGCCAAGAGGTGGAGGTAGCAAGTATGCAAACAATATACTGGGAATGAATTAGTTTCAGCTATAGCAGCCTTCACTTATAAGAACTTTAAGCAATCCGTGGAACAATTGGTAGCTGCAGTACTATAGTTCTGCCTATGGTGGTCGGGGGTGGTCGGGACAACCACCTCAACAAATGAACCAACCAGTTCATCACTTAGACCAACCATTCAATTAATACTAATAACCATACATAAAGCATGATATTGTAGTCTACTAGTATGGCGTACATAAATTTAAAAAGAACAATATTAGCCTCCAACCACCTCTAATTTTTTTCTAAACAGAACCCTGCAATACTGTATGTGTATGTTAAATTCTCAGTTTAGAGTTAATAGTTGTGAATATGTAAATAACTATAATTCTTATCATACTTCAACTATCTCAGTGATCTATATGTGGAGGATACAGGAATATATTGCCCTGGGGGTCTACACATGCTAATACACATACCATGTACTGGAGTAGGGGGAGTGTGCTGAAACGTTAAAAAATAATAAATTTCTAATTGGATTAACAAAACAACTCAAAATAGGAGCCATACAATAATTGAAAGTAAACGAGGCACGAGTGAGAGGACCATACATATAAATACAAACAAACAAACCACAGTCTTTCTCTGTGTGTGTGTGTGTGTGTAGTGATAATATAATATTAAGAATTGAGACTATACTACATGTGCTATAGGAAATGATAACATGTACATGTACATGTACACGTGGTCGTGATTATATAGTGCGTACTGCAGAATCAAACCACATATTAAACTATTAATAATTAGTAGTAATGTTAAGACTATAGCCCCGTTTACACTACAAACCAGTTTGGATCAAAGCGGTTCAGGAACCAGCTTAAAGGCCTTTCTACACTTGTCCACTTTGAATCCAGAATTGCAACCTACTAAGATAGAATCCTCTTTGGTTGTGTTCACACTAAGCTACTTTGAAAGAATTAAAAGTGAATTAAACTGCATTGGCTTCTACAGGTTATGAATAATTAATTGAGATCAATCTACTTCAATCCACCTCTGGATGTGGATTGACTGGATCTAGCTTCAATCCCCATTCAAGACAAGTGTGAACAAGCTAATCCTGCTTTAATCCTGGATTTTGTCTTAATTCTGGATCCAAAGTGGACAAGTGTAGAAAGGCCTTAATTGTGTCCACACTTAACTGTAGTTGAATCGGTTTACAATGCTACATAGCATACATAATACAGCTGCTCCAGTACTTAAACTAGGCCTTGGCGGATTATGCCAGCATAATTTTGAGCATAATAGCCCCCAAAAGCATAAGCATAATGTGAGCATAATAGAGCTATAATAGAAAATTTTGAAAAAAATGCATTGAGAAGTGCAATAAACAGGCACTTACACTCAATAAATTAACTGTTTTCATGTTTAAACAGCTACTATTGCTCACAATACTTTCAAGAACTTCATAATTGAATTACTGGCTCACATTTTTGGGTGTGACTAAGTTATTATAATGAAATTCATGAGCATAATTGGGAGCATAATAGCTGATTGGTAGAGCATAATAGAGCTGTTTCCTGGGAATTGCAGCATAGCATAATAGAGCAATTTTAGAGCATAATCCGCCAAACCCTAACTTAAACCAACCAGTTTGATTATCTCAAACCACCTCCTGAGGTGGTTTAGATAAGTCGGTTTCAAACCGCATTGAAATTATCCACACGTAAACTGATTTATTTCTAAACCGGTTCCAAACCGCTTTAAGGGCATAGTGTAAACGGAGCTTTAGACATGCAGTACTCCACTAAATAAAAACTAAAAAGTAAGCTTAAGCAGAGTTTAGATTTTCCTTGCATGAATCCAAATTTCATTATTTTAGACCTACAATGTTGTACATGTATAAACACAATAAATTAAATTCTTGGAAATTTCTCGTCTGCATACGACACACGAATTCACATATTAAATGTAGCGAAGCAAACCGTGCAGAAAAAAACACATTGCTACAAAACATGTACAAGTACATCGCTACAAAGTTGTACATGCATATTATTATAAAGCATCGTAGTGGTACAGCTACAACGGATCATTCTCAAATTTTAAGAAAGTTAAATGGAGTGGAAAACGATCCAATCCCACACACGCTCATAGCTTAAATGACAGAATTCCCACACACTTCCAATACTCCACCTGTTCACAATAAAACGAATACCACCGAGTTGATATCCGTGTAATGGCTGAAATAAAAACTTTCACAAATGAATTTTAAGAGCGAGATATACATGTACGTGTGAAAATCGCTCGTGCATTTAATTTGGATATGGCTCTACTACCCGTCATATTAAACTATTATCCCAATTTTAAAACTAACACTATTTCAAGACACTGAAGTACTGTATAGCGCAAAATTTTGAGGGCTGTAAATTCCATGGATTTTGCAATTTGTTGAAGATATGCAAAAATTAGTTTGGCAAAAATCAAATTATTACGGTACAAGATGGCAGACGGTATAAATTCACAAAAATCGAATCCGCAAAATAGATTTTTAGACAAATTCGCGAAACTTACAGGAATTTTTCAAAAATTTTGCGCTACATGGTATAGTAGAATGTACAATAAGAAGCAATATGGTGGAAAATATAATTTATTAATAAATATAATATAGTACATGTATATTATTGATAATAAATCATTCCCATTAATCTAAGAATACCCCATTCAACTCTTTTATTAAAAATAATATTACTTGCATTAACTACCGTATACCATAAAATTTATGCGTCAAAATTTTTTCTCAAATCCTGCAATTCTAACATTTTAATGAAATAATTTTTTGTGAATAGCTTGCAAACTGCCCCACGTGGCAATGGAGCTGCAGTATTTTGTGATTTTAATTTTTGCAACGGAGCAAAAATTGCAAGAATTTTTTGTCACATAAATTTCATGGTATACAGTATAGTACCTAGTGCATAAAAGTGTCTGCTTCTCAATGCTACTGGCCATGTCTGAAATGAAGTCAGTGTTTTCGGTCACTGAGAAAACTTCCTTTCTAAGTCTTGCATCCCAAACCTAGAGCAAGAGGACATTATTTTTAATTTAATCTATTTTGCTAGAAAATTCTAACTACTGTAGAAGTATAAAGATGATTTTGGAGTCAGAAATTTGGAATCTGACTCAGCTTAAACTTACTATATATGTACATGTAGCATGTAACATAAAGACAGCAATACATGTATGCATTAGAAAATGTAATAAAAATTTGGGGTAATTTTAGAGCCATTTTTGAGCTATTATTTTTAAAGAAAAATGGCCTATTTCTTAAAATGGTCATAATTCAAAAAATTGAAATCAGAAACGGCTCAAACTTTCTAAATAGCCCAAGTACATCAATATGCATTGGGAAATCTAATAAAAATTGAGGGTGATTTTGGAGCCATTTTTCAGAAAAAACCATGGGCTATAGTACAGGGTATTTTTCAGAAAATGGCCACTTTTCTAAAATGGCCATAACTTGAAAAATTGAAGTCGGAATCAGCTCAAACTTTCTACATAGCATAAGTACATCAATATGTATCAAAAATTGTAATAAAAAATTGGGGGTAATTTCGGGGCCATTTTTCTGAAAAAACCATGGGCTATAGTACAGGGTATTTTTCAGAAAATGGCCTATTTCTTAAAATGGCCATAACTTGAAAAATTGAAGTTGAAATCGACTCAAACTTTCTACACAGCATAAGTACATCAATATGTATCAAAAAATGTAATAAAAATTGGGGGTGATTTCAGAGCCATTTTTCTGAAAAAACCATGGGCTATAGTACAGGGTATTTTTCAGAAAATGGCCTATTTCTTAAAATGGCCGTAACTTGAAAAATTGAAGTCGGAATTGACTCAAACTTTCTACATAACATAAGTACATCAATATGTATCAAAAAATGTAATAAAAATTGAGGGTGATTTCAGAGCCATTTTTTTGAAAAAACCATGGGCTATAGTACAGGGTATTTTTCAGAAAATGGCCTATTTCTTAAAATGGCCATAACTTGAAAAATTGAAGTTGGAATCAGCTCAAACTTTCTAAATAGCACAACTGCACAAATACATTAATATGTATCAAAAATTAATAAAAATTAGGGGTGGTTACGGAGCCATTTTTCGGAAAAAACCATGGGCTATCATCATACAGAGTATTTTTCAAAAATGTGAAAAATTAAAGTTAAAAACGGCTCAAACTTTTTACACACATGTAGAATAAGGATATCCTATAGTATAGCTTCAATTAGGCTTTACTTCCTTTCTAAAAAGTATAAAAAATTGTCAGAGACATTTTTAAAAGCATGACCTACAACAAACAAAGGGTCATAACTGGTAAAATTTTGACTAATATTTTTCCAAATATCAACCAAAAAAATTAGAAGTATAAGAAACTGACAATAAAATAATTTTCAGCACCAAAACATTCTTGATTACCTTTACACAACCTTCATCATCACCAGTGGCAACCAATCTCTCTGATATAACATGCAAACTGTTCAGAGATGAGCTATAAAAATTTTAAAAATAATTATTAGTAATAATAACTAATAATAATAATAATAATAATAATAATAATAATAATAATAATTGCACTTAAAAATAAAATTCCTTACTGATGTGCATTAGGTATAGTGAATGAAACTTTGAATGAATTAACATCAATGTATTGAATACTTTTATCCTTTAAACCACAGTATAAAGCTAAGAGAGAGAGAGAGAGAGAGAGAGAGAGAGAGGGAGAGAGAGAGAGAGAGA